GCCCCGCCTCGTACGGGCCCCGCGGCGGGGGGCGGGGGATCGGCGGAAGGGGGGGGGGGGAGCGGCGTCAGCGGGACCCCGCGGCGACGGGGAGGTCACCCCACCGCCCCTCCTCACCGTGTCCACCCCGGCCAGCAGCAGCTCGGTGACGTTGCCATAGATGACCTTCATGGGGACCTTCTCCCGGGCCAGGTGGTCGGTGAGACACGTCTTCGCCGCCGCTTCCCCCGGCTCGGCCGCCTCGGCCACGCGCCGGTCGATGTGACCTTTAGCTGGAGAGGACAAAGCCCCGTGAGGGTCGCGGTGGCCGAGGGGCGTCAGCTGTCCCCGCGTCCCCCTCGGCGTCCCCTCACCGAAGGCGAACATGTAGTCCCAGGCCTCGCAGAAGGTCCGCCAGGGCTTGGGGAAGAGGCGGTGGAGGGGCTTGGGCATGGCCATGGTGAGCAGCGTCATGACGAACATGGTGTTGATGGAGCGGATGAAGGTCTCCGTCTCCCGCGGCACCTCCTGCTCCAGGCAGCCCAGGCGGGAGGCGAAGAGGACGGAGGAGATGCCTGGGGCGGGGGGGAGGGGGTGAGCACGGGGACACGGGGAGCCCTGGGGACACGGAGGGCCCAGGGGAGCACGAGGAGCACCGCGGGGAGCCCGTGGGGACATGGGGGGGATGTGGTGGGGACAAGGGGTGACCTGGAGGACCATGGGGGACATCAGGAGCCCTTGGGGACACCGGGGTCCTTGGGGACATGGTTGGGATGTGGTGGGGACAACGGGTGCCTTGGGGACACGGAGCACCGTGGGGGAACAGGAAGAGCACCATGGGGAGCCCTTGGGGACATCGGGGGGACAAGGGGCAGCCTGGGGGTGTGGAGCACCGTGGGGAGCCCTTGGGGACATGGGGGTCCTTGGGGACATGGCTGGGATGTGGTGGGGATAAGGGGCACCCTGGGGACACGGAGCACCGTGGGGGAACATGAGGAGCACCATGGGGAGCCCCTGGGGACATGGGGGGGGCATGCAGGACCTGGGGGAACACGAGGAGCATCATGGGGAGCATGGGGAGCCCCGGGGGGGACACAAGGGTCTTTGGGGACGTTGGGGGACAAAGGGTGCCCTGGGGACATGGGGGGACACGGGGGACACAGGGAGTCCCTGGGGGACACGGGAGACTCTGAGGGACATGGGGAGACCTGGGGGGACACAGAAGTCACAGAGAGACCCTGGGGGACACAGGACCCATGGGGACACGGGGACACGGCAGGACCTGGGGGACACGGGGAGCCCCAGGGGGACATGAGGGGACCCTGGGGGACATGAAAGTCACGGGGACATCGTGAGACCCGGGAGGACACAGGAACCACGGGGACACGGGGACGCGGCAGGACCTGGGGGACACGGGGAGCCCCCCGAGGGACACGGGGAGCCCCGGGGGGGCCCGGTGCCCCCCTCGCCCCCCCTCACCTTCCAAGCCGAACTTGTAGAACTCG